AGTGGTAGTGGTAGTGGTAGTGGTAGTGGTAGTGGTAGTGGTAGTGGTAGTGGTAGTGGTAGTGGTAGTGGTAGTGGTGGTAGTGGTAGTAGTAGTAGTAGTAGTAGTAGTAGTAGTAGTAGGACTAGTCGGTTTAGTAGTATAGATAGTACTCGTACTCGTACTCGTTTTGGTTCTAGTACTCATTCTAGTACTGTTCTGTCGTGGTCGTGGTAGTAGGAGAACCCCCTCAAACCTGAGCTTTGGAGCTAGGAATCGTGGCTTCATGAGGCTTTCCAGAGCCAGGCTTCGACTTCCCCTTAAACATATTGAGAATCTGGGCAGACGGCGTCCCGGAAAACGGAGGTTTTAGGGGAATGCCCATATTGAAGGCCTAGGGTAATAGCAGGGCGAAGTATCGCGGAAGGAGAAGCTGAAGACTCTAAGCACCATGCAAACGCCAAGCTCTCGGAGTCTTTCCATGCCTCCGGAGATGTCACTACTGGCTGGAATGGCAGGGGTTGCATGAAGTGCCAAGATGTATGGCTAAGGGGCAAATCTTTCCATATCACCTCCCTGGTCCGGTTTTGAACCTGACTGAATCGGGTTACGCTAGCAGTGGCATCCTCTTCATCTCGGCTCTCACGAAATTTGCAACTCCGTGACTGCACTCCGCGTTTACATAGCTCGGGTTGCCATAAAGGGCATATGTTTTCACTCTGTGACGGTCCTGGCATTTCTTTTCTGATGCGCCTTCAGCGCATCTTTCGCCGAAACCGGCGAATGATCGTCCACCTGCTTAGCCCAGGCCGGGAGTTCAAAGTGTAGCTTTCTTACGGTTCCGGGTTTAGGGCTGACTTACCACAAGCAGAGCCAGCACATGAGACTACCGAAGGCAGCTTCGAGCCACGGAGCCCCTGCTCTTCCACTTGGACAGAAATACTTGTCACCACGAGCTTTATCATCGTCATCATCCACTGGTGCTCAGCCTAAATCTGGCTAGTGGTTGCCTTTCATGATGACGATGAAGTTGAAGATGATGATGTGGTGGTGGTGATGATGATGATGGTGATGATGATGATGATTATTATGATGAGGAGGAGGAGGATGAGGATGAGGATGAGGATGAGGATGAGGATGGGGATGAGGATAACCAGATCACAATTATGACAACGATAACGATGACGATGCCCCAACATTCCGCAACCAGAGTGTCCTCCG